CTGTGCCTGCAGCCACCCCACAGTTTGCCTTTGGAGATGGTTTAAAGTAGGTTTATTTTTAATTTAGCTCGAAGGGGACAAATATAGGAGCCAGATGAGTCTTGCCAAGACTGGGGACGGTGTTCGTTCTCTAGATACTCCTAAATACTGTAGGGGCATCCCACTGCCCATATAGGGAAAATCTTTAGCGGCCCTAGAGTCCAGGTATATGTGCTGTAGAGGGTTGTTCTTAGGATCTTAGACATAAAAGATAATCTGTGTTTTTCATTTTTCAGTTTACATGGTATACTTTGGAATGATAGCATTTCGTAAAGCCATTCACAGAATGGATCTGACCTCCTTTGACAAACGCTGGTGTGTGCTTCATAAAAAGCCTGGGCAAACCATGAAGAAGGCAGTCAAATTGTTGACAATATTTATATCTGATCTGGTCTGTAATGTGCCTATTTCTTTTTCATTAAAACTTGCTGAGGCTACCCATTTTTGAAGTGGCTCATTTAACCGCAACTCTGCTGCAAAGTGCTGTATAGCACTGTCATTAAAATAGAAAAGACCTTTCTGGTTCCTGCTGTGAGTTTCCAATATTCATTTTGTGGCATCTTCTGTAGGGCATGTTGGAGGCTGTTGCACGTTTCTCATTAATGTGGGCCTCAAAGGTAAGGGGAAAAGCTAGAGTCGTACAGCACAATGGCTGTAATTGCAGACCTGCTTTGTGACTGTAAATTTCAGTGGGAGTTGTGTGGTAATGTTAGTCTTTGATGTTTGTACCCTGGGATGGAATGATCCTTTTGGGGACTGTTGAGGCAACTCTCAGCTTTAAAATGGCAGCAGGTGTCCCTGTGTCAGACATGAGGACACCGTCACATCCCGTTTGGCCTACAATGCAAAGAGGTTATTCAACACTGAGGGTGAGGTGAATTTGCTGGCTGAGAGCTGAATATAGCCGTAACCTAGGGGGAAATAATTCATTGGGAAAGGGGGGGATTTACTGGCCCCATGGCCTTGCACAACCTAGTGAGGAACTAATTTATTCATTAATCAGGAAGGGGAGGAGGGAAACATTGCCCAAATGTGGGGAGGGATTAATTCATTAAAGGGAGGCAAGCAGGGAGAGTGGGGCATTGCATTATTCTGTAGCTGTGCTGTTCAAAGATGGAAGTTTTTTAAAAAGCAGCTTTGAGCTATTCCAGAGCAGCCATCCCTTCCTGAGCAAAAACAAAAATGTGTGAGCCGGAGGCTAAAAACCTGTGAGCTAGCTGACAGTAACTCAGCATAGAGGGAACTGCTGCAGCAACACACATGCATCCCAAAATAAGAAAGAAGAAAAGGTGCATGGAGAATCATGATAGTGACCCGACACAGAGGTGGTCCAGTGCACATCTAGTGCAAATGGAGAAACAAAGCCAATAGTGGTGTGAAAATGGATTACCCTGCTGCATCTGGACTCTCTGTAAGTGTGAACTGACAGACTATCACACCAACAACATGACTGCCATGCAATGCTCCCTCTAAGCTGAGGAGTCTTGTGAGTGAAAATTTTACTTTGTGAGCTACTGGCATTAAAGTTGTGAGTGAGCTGCATAAATCACTTTGCTCTGGAGCCATCTCTTCCTGAGCAAAACCAAAAATGTGTGAGCCGGAGGCTAAAAACCTGTGAGCTAGCTGACAGTAACTCAGCATAGAGGGAACTGCTGCAGCAACACACATGCATCACCCCCCCCCCCCCCCGTGGAAGCAGCCCAGGTCTTATAGTGCAGGTGCAAACCCTGGTTAAGAAAGTTAATGCCAGCTTCTATCCGTGCAAACAGATCACTACCTTGGTTAAGGCAGACAAAGGTTGCCACATGGCAAGAGGCTCTCATTGCTGCTGCAAATACCAAGGCAGTTGCAGTGGCAACAGAGCATTCAGAGGATGAGTCCCCCCCCCCCCAAGCCTCAGTCGCCCGCAGCAGCCATCTCCCCTTTTCTGTGCCACCAGAGGCCTTTTAAAGGTTTTTAGAAAGGGTTATTGACATACCACTATAGTATATACAGTTACAGATTTAAACCTGAGAAAACTCTCTGGTGGGGGGGCAGGGTTAGTGGCAGCTGCAGGGGACCAAGGTGGGGAATATGACACTGTTGTGGGTGGGATCAGGAAAGAGGCATACTTTCATGTCCAGATGGCATTTACCCCAGCTTTGCTGTGATCTTTCAGAAACCATTGCAGGAAAACAGGTTTTGGAAAGACAGGGGTCCAGGAGAAGGTTGAAACATGCACAAATGGACCATGATACTGTGTGGAAGCATGGGAAGGAAAAAAAAACACCCTTGCTTCACATTACACCCATGCTTGACCAAACATATGGTGTGTGAACAACCAAAATGAGAGTGGACAATACTTGTACCAGAGAGGACAGGAAGGAGGGGAATGAGTCCTATGCTTGCTACAGATTTGCAAGCCAGGAGTTGCAGGAAGTCAGTGCATCATTGGCATAAGCAATTGACAGATTGCTCATATCTGTACGCCCAACCACATGCAACCTTGATCCATGCCCCTCCTGGCTCATTAAAGCGGGCCACGAGGGGCTACTAGGCGCACTGCGGGAGATTATCAACAAGTCCCTCTCTGCGGGACAGTTCTTGAGTGCACTCAAGGAGGCAATGGTCCGCTCTCTCTTAAAAAAACCATCTTTGGACCCGGCCGAATTGGCTAACTATCAGCCGGTGTCCAATTTGCCCTATTTGGGCAAACTTATTGAGAGGGCGGTGGCGTTACAGTTACAGAGCTTTCTGGAGGATGCTTCAGTCTTAGATCCCTTCCAGTCCGGCGTTTGCCCTGGTCACGGGACTGAGACGGCCTTGGTTGCCCTGACTGACGATCTCCGAAGGCATCTGGATCGAGGGGGTATGGTGGCACTGCTGTTGTTAGATCTGTCGGCCGCGTTCAATATGGTCGACCATCAGCTGCTGACCCACCGCCTTGCCGACATGGGGATTCAGGGGCTTGCCCTTCAGTGGTTTGCCTCTTTCCTACAAGGTCGGGGACAAAGGGTGGCAGTCGGGGACCAGCGATCCCATAGGTATCCACTTGATTGTGGGGTGCCTCAGGGAGCGGTGTTGTCCCCGATGCTGTTTAACATCTATATGCGCCCCCTTGCCCAGATTTCTTGGAGTTATGGGATTAGGTGTCATCAATATGCAGATGACACCCAGCTCTATCTGATGCTGGGTGGCCGGTCGGACTCGAGTCCCAATGACCTTCATCGGGCTTTAGAGGCTGTGGCTGGTTGGCTCCGGCTGAGCCGATTGAAACTAAACCCGGCGAAGACGGAGGTCCTGGGCCTGAGTCAGGCCGGTGTAGGGCTAGGGCTCCCTCTCCCAACCTTCGACGGGGTACCTTTGGTGCCAGCGTCTAGGGTTAGGAGTTTGGGGGTGCTCCTGGACTCCTCATTAACAATGGAGGCCCAGGTGGCAGCCACTGTCAAGTCAGCCTTTTACCATCTTCGGTTGGCAGGGCAGTTGGTCCCCTACCTTGACCGCGATGACCTGGCCACAGTGATCCATGTGACGGTCACCTTGAGTCTAGACTAGCAACGCTCTCTACATGGGGCTGCCTTTGTCGCAAATCCAGAAGCTGCAGCTGGTGCAGAATGCTGCAGCCAGGCTGTTGATGGGTCTCTCTAGGAGGGACCACATTCAGCCTGTGCTGAAAGTGCTGCACTGGCTGCCAATAGCCGGATCCACTTCAAAGTGCTGGTTCTTACCTATAAAGCCCTATATGGCTAGGGTCCAACCTACCTGAGGGACCGCCTTTCCCCACATGTTCTCCCAAGAGCACTACGGTCGGGGGCCCAAAATCTGTTGGTCATCCCGGGCCCCAAGGACACCAAACTGACTGCGACCAGGGCCAGGGCTTTTTCGGTGGCAGCTCCTACCTGGTGGAATGAGCTCCCGGGGGAGACCCGGGCCCTGCAGGACCTTATGCAGTTCCGCAGGGCCTGCAAGATGGAGCTCTTCCGCCAGGCCTTTGAGGAGGAGCCGCCGCCCCAGTATTCCACCATCGTCATGGTTCCTTAAAGGATGTACCGACAAGGCCCCGAGGAAGAACCTGGACAACGTAAAGAAGATCCAATAAGCCGTTGCCATTGGGCATAAATATCATGGGAGTACCACCTGGAACTTTGTTGATTCTATCCTGGACGTATGAGATTACTAATTGACTGAGCACCATTGTTTTAAGTGTTGGATGTTTTTATTATGTTTTATATGTTTCTAATTATGGCATGGCTAATTACCCTGCCCTTGTTAGCCGCCCTGAGCCCACTGGGGAGAGCGGGATATAAATGTGAAAAATAAATAAATAAATATAAATATAAGTCCTATATGAATATTGTATACAATTGATTTCTAATTTGTTCCTCAGGACAAATGAAGCTTTCCCTGATGACCAAACAAACAAGTACTGGAATAAATTCTGTATTAAAATTTTAGCTTGGAGTATGCTCCCTGGAATATAAATTATGAAATAAAATATTCAAAATTAAATATTCAGGCTCACGTTTCCTCATCAAAACTCACTACTAGATCCCTGAATGATCTCCCAAATTTGGCATCAAATTTGACAGATGATTAAAATAGCTGATGACACTGCCTGTCTATTCTGGCAGCTGTTCCTGTTTCTACGTTTTGCCAATATTTTTGCTTGTAAGCATTTGTGCATAAAAATTGTTGTCCCCGTTTAAAACTTTAATGATTTTTAAATTCTCCCCAAATCTTGATAAAATTTCACTGCAGTCCTGATTCAGAGCCAGTGCAGTAAAACATTCTTCCTTTGCTACACTGTTTAGGATGGAACTAATATCTTGGAATCTGATGTCTTGCATATTGGGAAACAGAGAAAAGATCATTTTTAGATTTCATAGACAGACATTTGACAAGGAAGTATTCCTGGGGATATAAATTAGGGGGAATGGATAAAAAAAGTTTGTACTTTTCATTTGATTTCTTTGTGTTCATAGGAGAAATGGGGGAGAAAGGAGAGAAGGGAAGCATGGGTCGGCATGGAAAAATTGGCCCGATTGGTTCAAAAGGTATTTCACACATTTTCCCCGTATATGTAAAGTTTGAAATCTAGACTTAATCTGTGCGTTGTAAAAAACTGCAGATGGTTTTAAGGCTCAATTTCTGTCAGGCGACCAATAAACTTGTATTCCATTCCACAATCACTGAGATTATAAATAAATGAACATGTACTTCTTTTACACAGGGCAGATGAACATGCACTTCTTTTACATTGGGAAGATGAAAAAAAGATGGTTGGCCACTGTGTGAAACAGGATGCCGGACTAGATGGTCTGATCCACCAGGGCTTGTTCTTATTTTGTTAAGACATTCTCTCATTTAGCCCCAGTTAAGTTAGCTATCATATATTACATCAGTACCTAGAGATGCTGTGTTTTGGTTAAGGTATTATGGTATAATTCTGGGCTTTGCCAACAACTCTTGATGTGCACCTGGACACATATTTTGGATCAGGAAATTACATATACAATTCCCTGATTTTTGGATCTGTTAAATAGTACAAGTTTTCTGGTGCATTGAGCTTGGTGAAATCACAGAATTCCCTTGTCAATGGGTGGTTAATCGTAACATGAAGCTATATACAGATTCTTGCACACACATATATCCCCCCAACAATGAATGCTACTTGAGAAATTGTTGAGGCTATCCACGGCATTTTGGTCTGGGTCCAGACTGCAAGCAGGCCTTGACTAACTAATCTAATTGCCCAATAACTGAAGCCCTGTTTGTTTTGTGCATCTGAAAAGTTGCACTGTATCTGAGTAGAACTGGTATGAAGGTAGTGTTTCTAACCAATTATTCTAATGCACTCTGGTCCTAAAACAGATTTATATCGAAATACATTAGCTTGATTGCATTGATCATTCCTGTTGGCAGAATTTAAATATGCAAAGGAAGTGGAGCAGTGACTGTTTAGAGAAAAATTAGTAAGTTATTAAAGAAGAACAAACTGTTATAGAACATAGAAGAGAGAGAACCTTAACTGTTTAACCTAACTGCTGAAGGAGAAACACAAGAACAGGAAGCTCTACAAGAGCAGGAAGTTCCAGAAGAGCCAATCAGGAGACAGCAAGGACACAATTTGAAAAAGTGGGAAGTCCCTAGTCTACAGGGTTGCCAACCCCCCCCCCCCGGTTTGCCAGGGGTTCCCCGTTTTTTTGGGGGGGTTCTACCCGCCGGCGGCCAGATGGCCGGCGGGGGAAGCCCCACCCCCAACACTCATAGCCACCCCTCTCTCTCCCTTTAAGTGTGTGGAACCCACGTTTCCTCCCAAGCCCGATCTCCGCTTGAGATCAGGCTTGCAGGGAAATGCCAGCTTCGTGCACTTAAAAGGGAAACGCGGCTGCTCTTAAAGGGGAAACGCCGGCTCCTGCACTTAAAAGGGAAACGCTGGCTCCTTTAAGTGCAGGGAACTGCCGTTTCTGGAGATCTGGCGCGCGGGTGGGTGGCGGCAGACGTCCCCAACGTGACGTCATCACGTCGGGATGCCCCGCCCCCTCCAGGAACGCTCCCAAAGTCCCCCGCTGGGGGTGGAAGATGGACTTGGCAACCCTACTAGTCTAGCTATGCTAAGTACCATTCCTTCAGCTGTTCCCCTATAGGGTGATCTTCAGATTGTCTTGATAAAGTTGCACTATAGACCTTGCATATTTCAACAATTACTTGCGCAGTTCAGTATGCACAGTATCCTAGCACAGTTTGGAGTAAAATAGAACCAAGAACCACTTTATTTTCCTTTTTTTAGGTGAAAAAGGAGATAATGGAGATGTAGGCCCTCCTGGTCCTAACGGAGATCCAGGTAAGCCTGGAGCATTATGAAAGGAACTCTGTGTGTGCGTGAGGTGTCTGTGCTGGCACACTAAATCAGCACCTGATGTGTATGAATGTGTGTTTCTACCCAAAGTGCTGTAATTATTGAAACGGTGGCAAAATGTTTGTATCTGGCTTCTAAAAGGAGATATACGTATTAAGATTTCATTTTCCTTCTGTTTGTTTTTCTTTCATCTGATATGCCAATAAAGGTTGTTGTTGTTGCATAGTGGTTATGTGATTTTGGCATCATGTTTCAGAATCTGGATAATCCTTGAAAACATTTGAAATCTGGTTTGACTTTCCAGCTTTCTAAAATTGCCTCCTTTAAACAAGACTCACAGCCTAACTCTTTAAAAATGTTGGTATGAATCTACCTTGATGCTTGCAGTTTCACACATTCAAGTGAAATGGCAGTTAACACATTAATAGTTTAATGTTTGAACATGGCAACTGGAAAACATGATGGCTTCATTTGTTTGTTCTTCAAGAAGCATTTTCAAATCTCAGCCCTTGACTGATACTCCTTGTAAGGTACACTTACTTTAGCTTTATGTTAAATCGCCAATCTTCTCCGAGTCAAAGCTACAGAGCATGTTGTAGGAGCATGTAGGAGCTTTCCATTAAAATGATACCAATTGTATTTTATTTTCACCACTGAATGGAATAGGAAGGAGTACTTTATGGGCTGCCACCACAGGGACAAATACATTATAGTGAGGGGCTGAGTGAGCAAAGATGTTTGAGCATGAGGACAGTGTAAAGCCACTGGGGGAATGAAAGGAACTCTGTGTGTGCGTGAGGTGTCTGTGCTGGCACACTAAATCAGCACCTGATGTGTATGAATGTGTCTTTCCACCCAAAGTGCTGTAATTATTGAAACGGTGGCAAAATGTTTGTATCTGGCTTCTAAAAGGAGATATACGTATTAAGATTTCATTTTCCTTCTGTTTGTTTTTCTTTCATCTGATATGCCAATAAAGGTTGTTGTTGTTGCATAGTGGTTATGTGATTTTGGCATCATGTTTCAGAATCTGGATAATCCTTGAAAACATTTGAAATCTGGTTTGACTTTCCAGCTTTCTAAAATTGCCTCCTTTAAACAAGACTCACAGCCTAACTCTTTAAAAATGTTGGTATGAATCTACCTTGATGCTTGCAGTTTCACACATTCAAGTGAAATGGCAGTTAACACATGAATAGTTTAATGTTTGAACTTGTCAAGATGGCAACTGGAAAACATGACGGCTTCATTTGTTTGTTCTTCAAGAGGCATTTTCAAATCTCAGCCCTTGAGTGATACTCCTTGTAAGGTACACTTACTTCAGCTTTATGTTAAATTGCCAATCTTCTCCGAGTCAAAGCTACAGATCATGTTGCAGGAGCATGTAGGAGCTTTCCATTAACAGGATACCAATTGTATTTTATTTTCACCACTGAATGGAATAGGAAGGAGTACTTTATGGGCTGCCACCACAGGGATGAATACATTATAGTGAAGGGCTAAGTGAGCAAAGACGTTTGAGCATGAGGGCAGTGTAAAGCCACTGGGGGGAAAGCAGGTTATCTTAACAAATGAAGCTTGATAACATTATCAAAAATGATGCAGTAGTTGCTTTTAGCATTTAGAGGCCCCTCAATCTGAGGCCCCAAGCTATAGCTTACTTTGTTCATGCATAAATCCAGTACCATCTCCAAGGTGTTCTTAGGGGTGGGGTGTCATTCTGTCCCCCAGAAGCAGCATTTGGGGGGGGGGCATTTTGGAGTGCTGTGTGAGGAGCAAATGGATATACTTCCACTTATGCCCATGGAAATACTAGGTGGGATTCAATCCAGAACTTATTCTATCCTTGTAATAAATATGTACAAAATATACCAAAAAAATTTCAGCCTGCTCTTGGGGGGTTCAATAACCAAAGTGGAACAGCATGGATCTTCTCCAAAGGGTTTGCATGAGAGGAGATCTCATTTTTATGGGACAGTTTCATGCAACATGCTCTGTTCTTGGGTGGCTTTCAGCAAATGTAAAATGTACTTATTGATTTCTGCAGGCATTCCTTGTGAATGTGGCCAGCTCCGTACAGCCATTGGTAAAATGGATAACCAAGTGGCCATGCTGACAACAGAGTTAAAGTTCATTAAAAAAGGTGAGAATTGGTCATACAAATCTCCTTCTCCTCTTTTATAAAAGCCGTGCTTAAAAGAGGTTGACTGCTTTACAGCTGATTGATGTGTCTGTCTCTGTGTGGTATGCATTAAGTTGGTTTATAGAAATGCGAGTGCTCACTTTTCAGCACTGCCCTCCCCCGCAGCTGTCGCTGGTGTGCGTGAGACAGATAATAAGATCTACTTGCTGGTGAAAGAAGAGAAGAGGTACATGGATGCGCAGCTCTACTGCCAAGGAAGAGGAGGGACACTGAGCATGCCCAAGGATGAAAACACCAATGCCCTTATTGCTTCGTACATCAATCAAGCGGGCCTCAGCCGAGTTTTCATCGGCATTAATGACCTAGAGAAGGAGGGTAACTTTGTGTATTCTGACAGATCTCCCATGCAGACCTTCAGTAAATGGAGCACTGGAGAACCAAATAATGCTTATGACGAGGAGGACTGTGTAGAAATGATAGCTTCAGGGGGATGGAATGATGTTGCCTGTCATATTACAATGTATTTTGTTTGTGAATTTGACAAAGAAAATGTGTAAAAATATTTGAGTTCTCCCCTATTGTGTGCTCTGTTTTTGAATTAAAGTTGGGCGTAAGCCGGGGTGTACTTCTGCACTAGGTAGCATTTTGCATACCCAAGCATAACATGAATAAAGGGGTGCAGTCAAAAATATTCTGTAATGTAAAGTGATGTAAACTTCAGTTGGATTTTTTTTTGCCCCCCGTAGGGGATTTTTTTATTGCTTTTTCTATAAACTACAACGAAAAAAGGGAAGGGATCTACAAACTATGGGAGAATATAAAGAAAACCCACTAAAAACCCAAGAGATGGTGGTCATACAAAATGCTTATAAAATTAGCTTTTAGCTCAAAATTACAGTTAGAGTTCGTTGAATGTGGTCATCTAATAATCTATTTAAACTGAAAAAAATTAAAACTCCACTATGTCTGACTTCTTAAAGAGTTAAATAAGAAATGCTTACAAAAAATAAAAATTTTAAGAAATTCCAGAGTGCAATAACTACTCTTTTTTAATCCTTTTTCTTTCTCAACTGGTAGCTTGTTTTTGGGGCTGCTGCCCCCAATGTTGAATCCGAGTTCACGTCAGAAGATGCCACTGCTCCCTCTTCTTCACTTTCTTTGGTGCTGTCATCTTCCTCCTCTTCTTTTACTCCTGCGGGATACCTGTGTTGATGCAAAAATTCACGTGCCTTTTCAGCAGAGTCAATTTTTTATTTCTTATCCATACATTTGAAGATTATGCCTTTGGGAACGATCCATCTGTAGGGGATTTTGTTCTTCTGTAAAAATAAGACCAAGTCTCTAAATTTCCTTCTTTTCCTTCGTATTTCAAACGGAATGTCCTTCAACATTTTTATTTCTTTGTCCTTGATTTTCAAGGTAGCTCCATTTGTTGCTTTGAGTATTTGGTCTCTCACTTGTCTTCTGGAAAATCTTACCATAACTTCCCTGGGCAGGTTATTCTTTCTTGTAAATACTGAATACGACCTAAAGATCGTATCAATTTTACTTTGTAATAAATCCATTTTAATATCTGCTATCGGGCCCAAAGCATCACACATGATCTGCTTCAAATTCTCTCCCTTCTCTTCCGGGACACCTTGAAATCTTAGGACATAGCTTGCTCTTTCCATTTGTAGTTGTAACAAATGAGATTTGTCACTTAGTCTCTTTTTCTCCATTGCCTGCAGTTGTTTTTTAAACTTCTTGGTGTTGGCATCCACCTCTAAGCTCTTGCTCCATTTTTTCTGGTTTTTTACCATCTCATTTAATTGGGTTTGTTGTGTATCAAGTTTATGGTGCAATGCCGTAACTTGTTCCAGCAGAGGTTGCAGCGCTTCAGTCAGCATCCTTTGAAGATCTGTAGTTGTGTCCTGTCTAGGGACAGAACTCGCTGGGCTGGCATTTCTGGCCAATGGCTTAAGTTTCGCTTGTTTGTCTTTCTCATCCGTCCTTGGAGGTGCCATGTTTACAAGTTGTTTACTTTTTGTAAAAGTTATCACAGTCTCTAGAACTCTTGGCAAAGCCTGGTAAGTTCTTACAAGCTCTTTATTTTAGTCCACCTTGCTTCAATAGCCCCCCCCCCTTTCGTCTGTAGCTCAAAGGTCATTTGTTTTTTTCTTATCGGGGGAGAGTTCCCTCCCCCCCTCGGCTTTCACAGGGGAGGTTTCCGGCTAATTCGGTGTTTCTCGCTTCAACTTTGACTCACATTTCAACGATGTATCCACTTTTAATTTTTGATTTGCTTGGCCACCAAACGCTTGCTCCGGTGTGCAATTCTAGTTCCCATCCAGGACGCTTCACAGCGGGACCTTCAGGAGTAATCCCCCTTTGCCGGCAGGGTCACCGGAGGAAGGGCTTTCTAGCACCCCATGGCTGGGAGCCCAACACAAGGGCTCCAGGGGTGGCACAGACAGTTGTGCCCCCTCCCAACCGCGGGCTCCGGCGCACATCTCCCGGAGCCCTGGGAAAAAGTGACCACCATGGCGAACACTGAAACCGGAAGTCAGTTGGATTTCTAAGTATACAAGTTAGAACCTTGTTTAGGAGGATCTAATTTTCCAGTTATGCTTCTCATATTAGTCTGGACAAAAGAACCCAGATTGTCCTTATCTCAGCCATTGGTCTTCAGTCACCGCATTTTTGATGTGCCAGTTCTGTTGTCTTTTTTTGTACATAGTATTATTCTTTAAAACTAAAGCTGTAGTTCATATGTTTATCCAGCAGCATTCTTCTTTGTGTAGTGGAGGATCAGAAGCACCTCCCTCCACTCCATCATAAACAGAAGAAGAACCGTGCTGGATCAGACCAATGGTCCGTCTATCCAGTATCTTTGTTTACGACAGCCGGTCAAATATTATAGAGAAGCCACAGACAACAGTGCTCCCTTCCTGGCTGCTCCTCAGCATCTGATAGAGGCTTTCTGTGTCTGAACCTGAAGACCCAAGTTGGCTATCATGGCTAATAGCAAAGGTAGCTCTATTCTCCATCGCTCTTTTAAATCCATCTAAGCAGTAGTACTGCTTTTTCTCTGTTTTGAATCTGTCAATCAGTTTTATAGGGTAGCCCCAAGTTCTAGTATTATGGGAGAGGGAGAAAGGCTACACCACACAGAATTTTGTAGACCTCTATCACGTCAGTTCACTTTTTTTCCAAACTAAAAAGCCTCACATGCTTTAGCCTTGCTTCATAGATGCTCCCACCCTGTGATCATTCTGGTTGCCCTTTTCTGCACGTTCTCCATCTCTTCAGTATCCTTTTTGAGATGCAGTGACCAGAACTGTACACGTGGTATTCCAAATGAACCCACACCAGGGACTTGGATCAGGTCACTGCTGTACTAGCAATTTTATTCCTGTTCCCTTTCTGGATAATCTCTAGCATGGGATTGGCCTTTTTATCACCATAACACATTGAGCTGACATTTTCAGTGAGCAGTCTGTCACAATCCCAAGGGGTTTTTTTTTGTTGGTCTGTCATTACCAACTCCTACCCCATCCGCATATGCATCATTTTGTGCTTACTTACATTAATTTAATCTACCATTTTGTTGTCCTTTCACCCTCTTCAGAGAGGTCCATTTAGAGTTCCCCACTTGGCGGAAAACAGGAGGGCCTGGCGAGATCTTGTCCATGGGGTCGCAAAGAGTCGGACTCGACTATGTGACTGAACAACAACAACAAAACAATTAGGTGTCATCCATAAACTCCACTACCTTACTGTTCACCCCCAGTTCTAGGTTGTTTATGAATAAATTAAATGGCATCAGTCACAACACAGATCCCTAGGAGACTGCACTGCTCACCTCTCTCCATTGCAAAAACTATCCACTTATTCCCACTCTCTGCTTTTTAACTGGCTACCAATCCATGAAAGGACATGTTCTTTTATCCCGTGATTGTTTGCTCAGAAACCTTTGAGGCAATTACTTTTTGGAAGTCTAAGTATACAATATCTACAGGTCATCCTCATCTCAAAGAATTCTAACAAGTTGATGAGGCAGGATTCCGTGCTGGTTCCTCTTCAGTGAGGAATCATTTGACCGTGCAATACGAAGTGGGCAGTCCATGCCTGTACCCAATTGTGCCCAGTAAATGCCGTATTTTCTCCTATCCCCAGCAGTCCCTTCCCATATTGTTTCTGAGGCCAAAGTGGCCATGTGGGCAAACAGGCATGTGGGTCAGAAGAGGGGAAAGGGGGACAAAATCACTCCTCCTCCCTCTTCTGCAAGTGCAGTTCCACTAACAGAAGGGGCAATGTTCCCCCCTCCCTTTTCTCACTGCAGCCCCCAACTCGTGCATTTATTCATATAGGTCCTATGCCCACAGGAACCAACTTTGTAGGGGAAGAGACTTCTGGGTGAAGGGGAATATGCTCCTTACACTGGTAGTTCACTGGAACTAACCTGAGCTCATCTGCATGGTTGGTGGGGAAAGGGACATGTCCAGGCCTCTGTCATGCAAAGCAGAGCCCTGATGGAGATAGTGGGGTACCAGCCAGGGCTAAGTGCTTCAGAGCACTTCACACTTGGAAATAGTCCTACACAAGCCCAATTGAGAGTTCTTTCACTAATTTCAGCAGGGCTTGCACAGGAAAACTTACTGGTGAGGGGTGCTGCTCTCAGTTCTGATTGGAGTGAACGAACCTACTCAAGGGATGAGTGTGACATACATGGTGAGTGGCATCAAGGCAGGGTAGAAAATAAACAAGCATTGAGGGGTGCTGATGCAGACCTCCCCTAAGTTCTACCCTAATTAATTGTTGTGGATAAAGTATTATAATGGTATCTTATATTAGCATTGTACAGCTGTAAATATATAATCTAGGTATTTCAAATTTCAGTATTTACCCTTCAAAAGGGAAGAGAAGATTCCTATGCCCGCCTGTGTACTAGTAGAAAAGAGAAAGAGTCCAGTAGCACCTTAAAGACTAACAAAATTTGTGGTACTAGACGCCTGTGGATCCCTCTGTCCATAATGGGTATGTACAGCTACAGCAGAGAGCATAAGTATACATTTTAAAGTCAAGATTTTTAAAGACATATCCATGATTTTTTCCCCCTCAATTAACTTCTTTTGTTAATATCCAGTGCTCATATATGAAGCTTTGGGCTGTTCCGTAAATATAAACATGATCTCATAAAGCCCCTTATCAGTTTTTGAATATTAATGAACCAGTCCCTTACGATTTCCATTTGCCCATTTAAAAAAACAAAGCATTCAAAAGGATTGCAAATATGGAGCTAATCTAGTTCTACTTTAGAGATGGAGTTTTAAATGCTTATAATTGAGAACTAGCAGCAGAAAATGAAATGCAAAGTTAATTTACAGAAAGCATGAGGCTGGATTCTATTTTTTGTATGTATTTTTAGGCTTAGAGGAAATATGAGCAGGCATTCTGGGATGGCCAGAAAGACTTCCCTAAGTTAACTAAGTTTCTAGACACAGGTTTGAGGGCTATCATCCTGTACTGAATTATATGTCCATTTAAATCAGGGGACATCTTGTATATAACTAGATCTGTGGCAGATGCCTCGATTTGTTTGTTTTTGCAGGCCGTAAATACTCTGAAGCAGAGCTCTGTAAGATTATGCAAGTCATAGAATCATAGAGTTGGAAGGGGCCATTCAGACCATCTAGTCCAACCCCCTGCCCAATGCAGGACCAGCCTAAAGCATCTCTGACA